TGGAGTAATGATGATGGAAATTCAGCTTTGCATCACAGAAATAAATTATATTTGAAAGGATATTAAAATAGAAACCATTATTTTATATTGTAAACATTTTGCAAGATTAATGTTTTTTTTCCTGTATTTTTGATCCAATAAATGCAGCCTTGATGAGCATAAGAGACTTCTTTAAAAAACATTACAAGTCTTACTGATCCCAAACTTTTGTCCGGTAGTGTATGCAGTGTTTGTAAGTTTTGCAGTGTGTAAGTTTTGCAATAAGTTTGTAAAATATTTACATGTATGTGTGTGTATTTATATATACATAATAAATATACACAGCACACATATATATGTGTATGTGTATATATAAAACTTTTATTTTGACTGCGATTAAATCCTTTTTATTCTAATTTGTAATTTTTATTTTTTTTATGGAACCACAAAAGGTGATGGCCAAGCTGCCTGCTCTTTTGCTTACAATGAATGTGGATGGTAATCATTAGCTGTCAATGCACAAATTACCTTACAAGTCTTCTGAAGATATAGGAATTCTTTGTGTGAAGAACAGACAGACATTTGCTTGACAGCCATTGTTTACCATCTGCTTTCCTTGTATGAAAAAGTTCAGTTTAAACATTTCATGCTAAGCTAACTTTAACTCTTCTAGTGTTTAATGTAAAAATAACAATCAGAAATACATGAGTATTGAGTAAATGATGACTACCCTTTGAACTACCCTTTAAAAACAGAGATCTCTGAAATTTTTGTAATATTTTTTTAATCTGTCAGTAAGGTGAAATCAGTTTTCAGGAGAGGTTGACTAGACTTAATCAGAACGATACTGAATTATACTGTATTTTAATAAGGTGATTTTAGGTGTCAGTGGTCAGGTTTAAAAACTCTCAAGTCCTAAAACAAACACACCCACACACACACATCAAACACAATATGAACCAATAACACTCGTGTAAAAAACAACACAATCATGCAATAAAGAACACACTCTACGCAAGCACTGACAGATTAGCCAGTAAGATAACAGGGCAGAGAGATAGAGTAGTGAAAAGAGAGAAGCTATATGGTCATGTCTGGGTCACAGAGGTCAGAAGTTCAACAGATCTTCTTACCTTAACGTCTGCTTTTTTGTTCAACAAGCTCTTGGCTGCTACAATGGGAGGAAATAAGAGAAACGTTAAATCAACAACACCATACTGCATATTACAAAATGTCAATTAACCTGCTGGAAAGGAAGTTCAACCAGGGCTATATTTCCTAAAATGAAACATAACACTGCAATTATTAATCATACTAACAATCTTGCAAATTATAACTAGACCCAGACGGAATCTGCAGATTTTTGGTTCTGCACTTTTTTTTGGGGGGAATTGTATGGAATGGATTTAAACATGGAAAAATAGGAGATAGACAAAACTTTGTGAATAATAGGAATTCAAATTTTGCAAAAATATCCAGAACATTTTGCGAGGGCAGATTCTGTGTTGGCCTACTCATCAGTCTGATACAGCCAGATTTCTGCCATGACACTTTATAATAAATTTCATTCATGAGTCATTAACAATGCATTATTTAAAGGGTTAGCTCACCCAAAAATGAAAATAAGGCTGCGTTTTACTCACCCCCGAGGCATCCTAGGTGTATATGACTTTCTTCTTTCAGACGCAACAATACTACAGCGAGAATATAAGTTACGCCTTCTTTCTTTGCGTGAACCTTTGGGCGGCGTTATGCAAATCTTCTCACATCGTGACGTAGACATGTGGGGTGTGTTAGAACGAGCCGTTTTAGGTAGGCGTGGTTGACTCTTAACATAAATAAAGAATATCTCTTTGGATTTGAGACTTTAGTCTTTGCAATTTTACAGATCTTCTTTATGCACCAAGAGCTTGTAACACTCCAAAGAGAAAGGAAAAATTGAAATCGCATCATATGACCCCTTTAAATGCTGTTATTTTGAACTTTCTATTTGGTAGTGTGTATGAAATTTAAATACAATTCAATGTTTCATGATACCTAACTATTTGTTTGTTCAAAAACGAATGACCTATTAAGTACTATATAAAAGTAACAATTACTTTTAAACAGATTAAGATTTATTATAAAGTGTCACCCATGGCCCCTCAGATTGAACAATTCCCCATTGTCTAATTCATAAAAATAAAATGTAAAAAAATATTTGTTTACGTCTTACAGGAAAGATTGTGGCAGAGAAATCTATAATTAGGCTATACATTTTATCTGCTTTGTTATCATAGAAACAACGGTGCCACAGATATCTCATTACTCAGTGTACATTTCTTACCACTTTATTTGATTTTATAAACCATTTGGAAAGGAAACAATCATATGGAAGGGAAACAACTGAATATTTAAAATGAGCGTTTTTAGGTTCAGCCAAACAGTGTAGATGACAGAGAAACTTTTCAATCCAAGGACTATTAGGATTGGTCATTTAAAAATAAATAAATACTTTTTAGTGTTCTTACAGCATCATGGTGAACAACACTCATTAAATCAATATAAAACAATCATTAATGAGTAAAAAGAAGCATCTGACACAATCACTGTCATTCATTGATGGTTCTTGTACCATTTCATATTCAAAATACATATGCAAACAAATGCACACACACTCTCTCAAGCACTTTTAAAGCAGTTCATTCAGATCACTTCTTTTTTTTTTTTGTATTAAATCACAGTAACACCATCACAGACTCATTTGGCAAGTCTGTTTGCTCAAAGACTTTTACAGCCAGAGTTGGTTAGACTATTAATAAAGCACAGAAGAGATTTTGAATTTCATCCCTTAGGTTATACAGCAGGATGGGAATTTTTAATAATTTTCTATACTTAAGTACTGCAAATATGATAATTTAAGCAATCCCAATTTTTTTTTTTTGGTGGGGTACATTTGTGTATAGCTGTCACAACATCAAATTGAAGTTCAATCAAACTGAGTTACGAAACAAATGTGTTTTCATTATTTACATTCCGAGTACTCCGGTACTTGTGCCCATCCCTATTGTACATCTTGAAGGCTATCTTAACCTTTCTAAGACTACTGATCTAGGTACTGTTCGTTTAATTCAATTTCAGCAAAACCCTGTCATTTAGAAAATTTTGTAAAATGATCCTACAGATACAGCTGTGTCAATTAAGATGGCGTGTGCTGGAATTATGCATTTAAAAAAATTCAAGAGGTACAACATAGCAAGAGGTTGCACAAGCAATTAAGTCTAAAATGAATACATGTGCTGTATTTCTGGTCATAAACTAAAGAACAGGGTCACTCAAGGTTGGTATTTGATACAGATCCTCCTAGAACTGTATCTGGGCCAATCCATCCATCTGGTGGCCCAAAGAGATCAGGGAGAAGAAATGAGCATGCGTCCCTGTAGAAAAAGCAGGAGTAGTGAAGTAACCTCTAATACTCTAAAGTGAGTGGAGCTCCTTACCTTGCCATTAACACAGAGAGCAAGAGAAAGAGAGGAAGAAAGAATAGAGAAGAAGAAAGAATGGAGAGAAAAAGAAACAGCAATGGAGAAGAGGTCAAAATATCGGAGTCTCTTGTGCGGTTTCTATGAACGCTGAAGCTAAACGATTATCTATGGAGCTGTATATGGGGCTCAAGAACAAAAAATGTCAACTTGTTTTCAGTACAGTCATCATTTTTCTCAGAGTTTATCTACTTTGCAGAGAGTCAGCACAAACAAGGTTTAGCAAAAAATAGCAGGCAAATACGTTTGTGCCAGGCTGTAAGCAGTTTCACTACTCTAAAACCTAGTCCTCAATTGTTCTCTGATGCTTTTAAAAACATAACATTAAATTAATTAATAATTACAATTTTATGAATTAAAATATATTTATATCTTAAAATGTATTTATATCTATATTTGAACATTTCAATGCATCTTGTGCAATGCATAGCAGTTGCACAAGCAAAACAGCATTATTATCTAATGAGAACACAGCTTTTTGCAACATTACAAAAAGTATGTGAACTCGTCACTGATTTGTACTTTCTGAACATTTAACTTCAAAACTATGGGCATAAATAGGGAGTTGATCCATCATTTGCTGTTTTAATAGCTTCCACTGAAACACCCAAACTAAGAAATGGGTGTCCACATAACCTAAAATATATTAAATAAATATATTCTCTTAAATGCACCATATTAAAGTCAAATATGAGGATTTGGAGTGATCCAGGTGTCAGTCCCATATGTAGTGTAACTGCCTATAGCGCAGTAGTCTGGTTGCTCAGGCTGGGGGTAGTAGGAGGACAACAGAGAGAGGCAGCACTACATAAATATTTGATTGCAGGCATGTGGAGGGAGCATCAAACATGAAGCACAGCCTTCACATTGAGCCACAGCACACGCTCAGTGTACCAGCTCAACCCTTCTACCTCACTCATCATGATGCACTCTATGTTTAAAAAAAAAAACAGGAAAGGAAAAGGAAAAGCTGAAAACCATTTAAACCCGAATCATTTTTTGCCCTTTCAAAAAGGTAACTGGCAAAACAATGTCACTGGCTTCTCCTCAAGAACAGCTGCTTGGATAAATCAAGAAATTCTAAATTATCACATTCTTTCCCTATAAGCTTAAATGTCAAAGGCTGTTTGGTCAAAATGATGCTTCCACTGATAGAAAAACACCATTTTAAGCCATTTTGGAACAAATAAATAAAAAAATCTTTGAAGTAAGGGGCAAGAAAAAGATTCCAGATTCAATGTTCTTGATCAAACTACAACTATGATGTTTAATTACAGGCCCGAGATTAACTTTGATAAATTGCAGACATAATGTAGTGCTCTAGGCTAAACCCTGCAAAATAAAACAAATATACTGCAACTGTATATTCACTATAGCCCAAAATGGAACAAAAAGAGATATTGTTTCCATGGATTTCCCCTCATACTGTGTATCAAGTATCTCTAAGTAACGTTAACTGAAATTCTACATAATTCTACATCTGGTCCATACACGTAAATATGAAATCCTGACTAAAAAAGGCTAAAAAGTGAAAATAAAAATACAAAAAATTCAGATACAGTGAGTACAGTTGTCAAGAAGCTTTGACCATGCACAAATGCACCAGATTTGTTCAGCCCATCACACCCCCAAGTTAGTGAACATGCATTAGTCCAACCTCCCATGCAGCATTCAGCACAACAGCAGGCAGACTGTTCCACCCTATTAAAACAGGGGTGAACTTCAACTTCACAGACCATATTAAAGACAGAGTAAAGGAAGGAAGGAAGAACACAGAGGATGAAAGTGAAGATGACTTATGGGTGTCAGATAAAAATGGCAAAGAAAAGCAATGAGGAGGAGGAGGATAAGAATAAACCAGAAAAAGGAAGAGGCAGTGATTTATGGCACATATGAAAGGAAGAAATGATGGAGAGAAAAGGACTCAAAGGAGAGCGGGAGGGGAAAATACATTTATCATGTATGGATCTTGGTGTAGATCCTCTGTGAAATAAATAAAAGATGAATGAAATGATGATGACAGACAGCTGAGAGAACCAATAAGCGGATACATATGTTATCAGACATTAACTACAAGAGAAATTATTTGAATAATGACACAAAGGTGTGAAGGACAAGAAAGAAAAAGAAGAAACAGCAGGTAAGACAGGTAGAGGGTGAGTCATCATGCATGCTTTAGCCCCATGCAGAGACAATCATGGACTAGTGAGTTACAGAAAGGAAACAAGAGGATGTTGAGGGAAGATGAAAAACAAAAACTTTTCTTTTGTAGAAGAGATGAAAGAAACTGAAAAAAAGGGGAAAAAAGAAAGAAATTGAAATGAATTAGACAAAATAAGATTTAAAAACAAGAATGAAAAGCGGAAATCAAACAGGAAAAGAGAAAAGAAATGAATAGATAAGTAAAAAGGAAAAGGGTAAGAAAATGGGAAGAGGAAAGGAAAAGGTAAAAGGAAGGAAAATGGAAAGGGAAAAACAAAGAAAAAAGGAAACGGAATGGGAAGGGAAGGGAAGGAAAATAAAGGAAAGGAAAAGAAAACAGATAAGGTAAAGAAAGGAAACAAGAGGATGTTGAGGGAAGATGAAAAACAAAAACTTTTCTTTTGTAGAAGAGATGAAAGAAACTGAAAAAAAGGGGAAAAAAGAAAGAAATTGAAATGAATTAGACAAAATAAGATTTAAAAACAAGAATGAAAAGCGGAAATCAAACAGGAAAAGAGAAAAGAAATGAATAGATAAGTAAAAAGGAAAAGGGTAAGAAAATGGGAAGAGGAAAGGAAAAGGTAAAAGGAAGGAAAATGGAAAGGGAAAAACAAAGAAAAAAGGAAATGGAATGGGAAGGGAAGGGAAGGAAAATAAAGGAAAGGAAAGGAAAGGAAAAGAAAACAGATAAGGTAATGAAAAGGAAACAGAAGGAAATGATATGGGAAGTGAAAAAGGAATTGAAAAGGAAAAAATAGAGGAAAATGTAAAAGAAAGAGAACAAGAAATTTCAAGGAAAATAGGGAAAGAGAACAGATAAAAAAAAGGGGAAAGAGAAAAGATCAAATAAAAAGTTAAAGAAAAGGGAAAAAGACAAAAAACCAGTGGAGCACAATGTGAATAGAGAATAACAGAATGGGAGGAATATCCAGAGGAGCGCAGAGACAGAAAGGGTCAGAGAAATTGGGCCCCATAGGGCGGCGCTACCTTGTTCCACCAGCCCTGCTGTGGTGCCTGCAGCCGCGGCTACTGCAGCCGCAGCCACAGTGACCGAGGCGGGAGCCGTGGTCTGCCTGCTACCCACTAACACACACAGGAGTGTGTACGTCCATACACACACATACCCACCCACACACAATCACAAACAAAATGAGAGGGAGGAACAAAAAGAGAGAGAGAGGGAAGAGGAAAGGGGGCAGAGTGAAAGAGAACCATTCATTAGTCTACGAGAGAAGAAACTGTCAGTTATAAGAACACGTCAAACCAATTTTCTTTTCTTTTTTTTTTTCTTTGAGAGACAGGTGGCTCATAACAAAACGATCCCCACTCAAACAAGAGCCATATTTTCACTACAACCAACATACAACAAAGACAAGACTCTGACACAGAGGGAATCATCCCTCCTAACATTCAAAACCACATATATTTATCAATGTCCTTTGTTGGACCATCATCTGAAGCGGTTACAAGCAGAGCCCTGGCATCACAGATGAGTTCAAAAGGCAGAAAGTGCTGCGATAACTGCTTGAATTTTCATTAAGGATGCAGTCAAATAAAAGAGAATTGATGGAGAGAGACAGTAAATTACACAAAATGCATGTTATCTTGTATTATGCATGATATCTGTGAGGTCAGAGCTACAGGAAAACTGCAAACTGCAAGATGGAGAGGAAAAGGTTGTACATAAGTGGTGGGCAGAAAGTAAATATATACAGAGAGTGGTCCCAAAAAGTATGTGGACACTTAAACCACAATTACAAATGTATCAATGCCATCACATTAGATATTGACCCAAGCGGCATTTATAAGTGGTAATTTGTTTAAAATGATTAATGATATTTAAGTTCTAGTTCACACAAAAATTTTTAATTCTGTCATAATTTACTCACCCTCACGTTGTTGTATTACCTGTATGACATTTTGAAAAAAAATTTTTTTGGGTCCATACAATTGAAGTCGATGTGCTCTAATGTAGACTGGTTCCCATCTTAGTTCTGAGAAACACTCTAGCCAGTCTCACCAGGATTTAACTTTTTTTCTCTCTTTTTTTGTAATTTTTGCATTTAAAATGACTGATTTTGTGGCAGTAATTTCCAGAAATTTGCAGAAACCCTGCATTTTTAAAAAAAATTAGGACACATTTACCACATTATGTATTATGTACATGACAGAAACAAATATTGTTACCAAATTATGATACAAAGCTTTTAATCAAGATAATTATTGTTTTTAAACAAAAACAAAGAAACAAATTACAAACAATAGGCCAAAGATACAAATGAAATGCAGAGTACTTGAAGTTTTTCACATAGGTTTAATAATCAAGTATTCAGAAATTGAATAATCAAATGTAATTTTTTTTAAACTTTATTTTCTTATTCATGCATGTTTCTCAATGACACTACTATGTCAATAAAATTAAGTAGCACTGAGTTTTTTGTGATTATTTTGGGGTTAAATGGCTTATTATGCAGGATCATAAAAATGCCACATTTTGTTGATTCTGCAATAGTAGAACCACAAAAAAATGGAGGAACTCTCTAGCATGATTTGTTTTTTAGGTACCATTTGGTTTGATATCTAATGCAATAACATTATAACAATTTAAGTACAACTTAAGGGCCACAAAATCGGTGTATAAATATATATACCTTGTGTAGCCCAAATCGTGCCCAAAGGACATTTTTAATGAGAGCAAGAGGCTTAAAGTATTTATTTGACAGACAACAGACAACAAAGCACATCAAGACGGAGTGGGGATCTAAAAGACACACAGACGATTCCCTAGAGAACCATAAGAACATACACAGAACAGACCAATCAGAAAACACACATATTCATCAACTCAGCTGTCAATCAAAACAGTGTAATTTTTTTTAAACTTTATTTTCTTATTCATGCATGTTTCTCAATGACACTACTATGTCAATAAAATTAAGTAGCACTGAGTTTTTTGTGATTATTTTGGGGTTAAATGGCTTATTATGCAGGATCATAAAAATGCCACATTTTGTTGATTCTGCAATAGTAGAACCACAAAAAAATGGAGGAACTCTCTAGCATGATTTGTTTTTTAGGTACCATTTGGTTTGATATCTAATGCAATAACATTATAACAATTTAAGTACAACTTAAGGGCCACAAAATCGGTGTATAAATATATATACCTTGTGTAGCCCAAATCGTGCCCAAAGGACATTTTTAATGAGAGCAAGAGGCTTAAAGTATTTATTTGACAGACAACAGACAACAAAGCACATCAAGACGGAGTGGGGATCTAAAAGACACACAGACGATTCCCTGGAGAACCATAAGAACATACACAGAACAGACCAATCAGAAAACACACATATTCATCAACTCAGCTGTCAATCAAAACATTTCAAAGGTTAATTCGCAGCTTCATCACACCCGAATAACTTACCAGAGAAGTTCCGTGACACAAGCATGGTGGTGAGGATGGCCCCCTGTGAGGACAAAGAGGAAATATAACCTGTGTGTGTTTAAAATTAGAATTGAGTGAGCATGTGTGTGTGACCATGAAACACACCTTGAGTTTCCTCCTGGCGTTGAACTTCTTCAGGCATTCCACAGTCTCTTGTCTGTGCATCATGGAAGCCACAGTAGAGCGTTGCTATGGAAACAAATAGGGAAAAGATTTTTACTGTATATCTACACCCATGTTTTGCTGTTTTTGTATAAGTGTTCTATATGTCTGCATGTGCGCGTCGGTGAACACATACGCAGACCCATGGGTGTTTGAGAGCTTCCTGTGCAGTGATTCTCTTGGCAGGATTTATGGTTAGCATTTGATTGATGAGATTTTTGGCTTCAGGAGTAACTGTGTCCCATTCTGGAGATGGAAACTATTAGAGAAATAAAAAACACGATTATTATACAACTACAGTTTAGCTCTGTCAGCAAGCACTGCATCAAATAAACCACCTGTTGGAATTAGCGATTTCTGTAACTTTTGACTAGAAATCGCGCATCTCTAAGAAAATTAAGTCACCTATTGAAGTTCCCTTTTCTCAATTTACTGAACTGGAAATATGAAGATATATGAGTCAATTTTGGCTCAGCCAAAAAATAAATCAGTCATTCTATGAAATAGGCAACATTTATTTTAAAATACATCTCTTCATTTTTTTAGCAGTCTATTGGACAAACAATGTCTTTAAGTGTTAAAAATGCATTGTGCAATCTAAAGTAAAACTAATAAAAATGTAAATGTGATTTTCTAAACTTGTGATAGCAATAACGTGTTTTGATCATTTTTTGTAAATACAGTACACAAAACTGAAACGATCCAAAAACTCACATCATAAGCTCCCGCTTTGATCTGTTGGTAAAGTTTGTGCTGATCCTCGTCCCAGAAAGGTGGATATCCAACCAGCAGAATGTACAGAATCACACCTTAATAAAGAGAATTAAAAAGAAAAAAAAATCTGTTCCTAAGTAAGCAACATTCTTAAGGCTGTTGCATACAGTAAAGCCAGTTAAACGGTGCTACCAGTTAATATTATTTGTTCCATACTCAAAAGAAGCACAAAATAGATGAGGTTGCTGAGTCTCTGTGCCTTTGTTTGCTCGTAGGCTTAATTGGTGTCATGCAGGTTGACTGGAAATCACCAACTCTCACTGAAAATTAATGACTTCCTCTATCTGTCACTGCAAATCTCTTTATGTATGAACATCCTTTTAGGACCCTGCTGAAAACAAATAAACCAGCCTAAGTCCAGTTTCCTAGTCTGTTTGATCTTCCATCTTGGTCAAGCTGGTGTTTAGATAGTTTAGCTGGCGGGCCAAAAAATTTAGAAAGTGTCCAAAACCCCTCTAAAACCAGACAACCAGACTAGCTTGACTAGGAGAGGAGACCAGCTGAGAACAGAAAACCCTCTTGGGCTGGTTTAAATAGCTTTATATCAGCAGGGAAGGTAGACAGTGAAGTAGACAGCAAGGCAGCTCACTTAGTTTTGGCACACAGCACATAAATCTCTTGTAATTTCTTCAAAATGAGCATGTGCTTGTCACTGCATTTGAGTTTATTTACCGCAGGCCCAGATGTCCACCGGTTTGCCATATGCTTCCTTCCTCAGCACCTCAGGGGACAGGTAACCTGGTGTCCCTGCAAATCCTGTAAAATGCACAATAAAATGTGAAAATAAAGGTGTATGCAGTACAAACGAGTTCTAAAATGTTTGTTATAAATTGTGTGGGCGTCTCTCAATATCAAACTACAGGTTTGCATTATTATGGCAATGTCTTCATACCAAACCATGCCTGCTGGTCTCCCTGCACCTCAATAGCCAGTCCAAAGTCGGCCAGCTTCACAGCGGCGTTCTTGCACTTACTGGCCAAGAGCAGATTCTCTGGCTGAGGGGAGAATGAAGACAACATTTCTCCTGCCTTAACACACAACTTTACTGCCTCAAACACATACACTCACAGTAACAAACACACTGTGCATGCTGACACACACACAAGAAGAGATAGTCATGTTCTTAACATAAAACCCGCGCACATTTTAAGTGTGTATAATCAACCTAACCCAACCCAAATCCAATTCTGTGAGATATTAGTTGAATGGTGGGTTTGGTTGAACTTTCCGACTGCAGAATGTTTCTAAATAAAGGACACAGGAAAAAAAACTATGTTTGTCTTCACTGGTAATAAGAGTGTGTGTGTGTGCATGTGTGTGCGTGTTTTCCTCCCAACTGACCCAGATTATCTATCCTCATTATTCTCTGTCACTGATGGATGCTAATAATGTGATATCCCCTCTAGTGCCTCCTGATGCTTCCACTAGCACACACATGACACAATCTTATAAATCATAGTGCTAGCAACTCTGATCTATAAGGGCAGGCTAACAAACCAAATACACAGTCACACACACCTTTAGCACTGCAGAAATCTCAAGCAGCTTTTCCTGCATTGCAGAGTCTGGTGGATCTAACATCCACTTCCCTCACTCTCTTATTCACGTTGTAGACTGCTACTAAAATGATTAAAACTTGGACAACTGACAAATAAAAATAGCTACCATTTAACAGTTTGGGGTCGGAAAGATTATTTAAAATAATAATAACAATACTTTAATGACGCAAGGATGAATTAAACTGATCAAAAGTGGCATTTATCGTTAGACATTATAATGTTACAAAAGATTTATATTTCAAGTAAATGCTTTCGTTTGAACTTTCTATGCAATAAATAAAAAAAGTGTCACTGTTTCCACAAAAATATAAACTAGTACAAACGTTTTCAACTGTAATAATAAGAAGAAATGTTTCTTGACCATCAAATCAGAATGATTTCTGAAGGATCAAGTGATACTAAAAACTCGATTAATGACTGATGAAAATACAGCTTTGTAATCACATGAATAAATTACACTTTAAACTATATTAAAATAGAAAACATTTACTGTCATAATATTTCACAATATTACTATTTTACTGTATTTTTTTATCAAATAAATGCAAACGAAGCGTTTGAGAGAGGCGGGGCATAGAGGACCTACAATAATGTACAGTATTTGAAAAAGAATGTGTTTTTTGAACATTAAAGCATGTCAACATATTCTGTTACACCAAATGCACAAAATAATGATCTTTAAAAAAGCATCATATGACCCCTTTAAAGCTCAGTAGTGGGAGGAATTTTGATGAACAGCACCCTCTGAGAACAGATCTAGCTCTCCAATGCTCTTTCACGAGCGTATAACCTCTGCAGTGAAATCCATGACATGACTTCATAGCAAAAATCTCATCAGCATGGGCACAGCTACGAATCAAAGTACATGCATATGCATATACTGAAAAACACAGCTGGGTGCACTGCTTAAATTGGCATGAGTTGGTTTAGTTTACTTGCTTAGCTCAGTAAAATCCCAAAAAGCATGGGTGTTGATAGATGTGTACTATTGTGTCTGTGTGTGTGTGTATGTATGTGCAAGACCGCTGCTCTTTTCTGCAGTGGCATTCCTGTCATGCCCACTCAGATTCCAGCTGTGGAAGAGCGCGTGCCCCAGGCTTCCATTTAAAAGGGCACTCCAGTGTGGGCAGACACTTACAGCGTGAAACCAAAATGCTGGTACTGTCAGAGTAGAGTACGGAGCTGACCGCAGCAACTGTTTTTAGCATTTACCTGGTTTCTTTTTCTGGATACTGCTACAGTGAAACTGAGGCTTGAATCTAAACCTATACGGATTAAATCTAGTGATGCACCAAAATTACAGCAACTTAAAATATTTGGTTGAAACAGCAAAAAAAGAATGAATTTTAGTTTTCAAAGGAAAACGTTTTGAAAGGCTGAAATCTTTGATCGAAATGAGTGACGTTTAATTGGCTCTTCTCAAATGAGTCGTTTGACTATTTCATGCACAAAACGTAGATGAGCTACAAAAGGTAAACATGTCAGCAGTATGGACACACTAAACCATTCCCAAAAATGATGCTAAAATAGCAATATGCAAAAGTAGTTTGGCTGAAATATTGAGAGGTGGCTTGTTGCTGAAGAACTTTACTACAACTGGTTTAATTTATCACCAAAGAACTCGACACCTTGAAGAGCATACCAAGTTCAATTAACCAATTATCCAAATGTAATTACCAAAACTTTATTTTTGGTTTTCTAACATTAATTATAACCTAAATACTTTGAAAATCATCCGCTGAAGTCTATTGCAGATCTAGACATTAATACATGTAAATAACTATGGCTGCAGTTGTACTAGGGAGGAATGTCAAGTGTTCACGGTCCAATATTCGGCTAAAACAGCAAAAGTAGTAATGATTTTTTTTGGTTTCAGATTAAATAATTTTGAAATACTGAGAGGCGACTTGTTGGTAAACTACTATGACTGGATTAATTATCATCTAAGAACACAACACCTTCAAAAGCATACCGAGTTCAATTATTCAATTACGCAAATGTAATTATTACCGAATTTTTTCAGTTTTCGGCTAAATGGCAACTTAAATTTCAGTTTCATGTTTCGCTAAAACAATAACTTCTGTGCATTACTAATTAAATCAGCTCAAAGCACCTGATTTATTGATATACATCTGGATATCATTTTGCACATGCTCTCTACAGACTCAACATGTCAATAAAAGTACACAATACAAAGTGCACCGGATCTGTGCATTTTGAAGAAAACCTGCAGATAAATGTATTTATAAAGTGACATTACAGATACAAGTCACAATCAAACCACTTATACATGCATACGAGACATACAAACAAGCAAACCACATTAAGAACAATTTACAAGATTATTATCGACAGATAAACATGCAGCATGCATTCTGAAGCGGTGTTTGTCCAGCAGTCATAGGAGCTTTTTGGCAGTTACGATAAGCCAGGCTAATTTCTGGCCAGTTCGCACCGTAATCCGACTGCAAAGCATGCCAGGTAACGTGACAGTATAGTTGAATTATGTCTAGGAACAACACTTCCCAGAAGCACACTGCGTTTTAGAGAAGGTCAAAGGTCAGAAGGGAGCAGTCAAATGGCATTGCAGTGCACTCAAATCTGAACATGGTGACTGGTCTGGGACTGGGACCCTGATGTCTACACTGACTCTCTAGTCAATAAAGCACTGTTGAAGTGCAAAAGAGACATTTGTCTTGATAGGAACAACACTTCCCAGAAGCACACTGCGTTTTAGAGAAGGTCAAAGGTCAGAAGGGAGCAGTCAAATGGCATTGCAGTGCACTCAAATCTGAACATGGTGACTGGTCTGGGACTGGGACCCTGATGTCTACACTGACTCTCTAGTCAATAAAAGCAATCTAAATAAGAGTTACATTGTCATAGTTAATAAAATTTGGTCTATTTTTATTTATATTATTATATAATAATAATTGCATAAGTCATTTTAGTGGGAGCACTGTTGAAGTGCAAAAGAGACATTTGTCTTGATCAATAAACTAAAATCAATGTAGCTCTTTAAGTCAGTCCAATTAGCTCAGTCTTACCTGTACATTCATGAAAGTGAATTTATTACCAGCAATGGCCAAACACAGCAACACTGAAGCATGTACGCCATGCACTATCACTGTGTGAAATCGGACTGACCTCCCATGCATTTCTGAATCTTTTTTCCACCCATTTTCACAGGGGGACCAAGAGTTCCTATCAGCAATTATGTCAGTCCCCTTCAAATCGACACAGCAGTAGGCACAGATTTCCACATAGCAAGTTTATGAGCACATACACAAGTTCACACACATCACAATGGTCACTTACCTTCAGGTCTCGGTGCACCACGCCCATTTGATGGCAGTGAAGCACCGCCTCCAGGATCTGCTGGATGCAGTGACTGCATGCAAACAGCAGGGGGCGTAGGTTAGTCTGAGCAGCGCTACAGTCCCGTGCACAGGCCAGGGGTGAGGGGTATTTGGGGCAGGTAAAAATGTAAAAGGGAATGGGAAGGGTATCTCTCTCTAGACTCAAGCCTTGCCTCCATGTAGCTAAATATTAGCATACAATAACTGAAATAACAATAATAATAAAAAATTAAAATAAAATAAAAAAAACACTTAAACAGTTGCAAAACCGCAAGTGGATTTCAGCACTAATAGTTAGAAAGCAAAACATCCCCTTAGAACTGAAAACTTGTTTAATATAAATTGATTCAATTGTGATCTTTTTAAATTTGGGTACAATATTAACATTATTATATGGAGGCAATGCTTTGCATCTTTTGAGAGTTTCCTTTTATTTTCTTATGCCAACATATGTAGGACCTGTCCCATAAAATTACCGCAAAATATAACAGGTACCAAAATACTTTTTTTGGATACAGTAAGGTTGTTACGATTCAGTATAAAAGTGGTAAACAGATCATATATTCAAATATTTACGAATCCAGTGTAAGTTTCCTATTGCTTTTCCACCTATTATTGTGTATGAACAGCTTTAAACTTTAGTTTCAAATAATAATAATAAGCCTCAAGGAAGCCTATTTTTTCTTGAAGGCAAAAATCTTCTCATGAACTGCTCACCGAATGGATCTGAGATCAACTAGAAAGCCAAAAAAATGCAACAAAACTGCATTTACATACACTGCCATTCAAACGTTTGGAGCCAGTAAGGATTTTATTTTTTATTTTTTTAAAAAGAGATTAATACTTTTATTTAGCAAGGACGCATTGCAAGTGACAGTGAAGACTTGTACATTGTTACAAAAGATTTCTATTTGAAATAAATGCCAATTTTTACTTTCTATTCATCAAAGAATCCAGAAAAACGTATCATGGTTTCCACACAAATATTAAGCCACACAACTGTTGTCAACTTTGATAAAAATAAGAAATGTTTCTTGAGCACCAAATCAGCATTTTAGGATGATTTCTGAAGGATTATGTTACACTGAAGACTGGAGTAATGGCTGCTGAAAATCCAGTAGCTATTGGAAAATGGCAGCTTGATTCTGCTAATTGCTGCTTGCAGCTCTACTCTTCTCCTCCTCCCTAGGGCAGTAAAATAGGGTTTTGGAAATTAAACCTTGAAGAAAACCATACAGAGTAACAGCTGTATATCTATGATGCCTTTGATAAATATAGTGTCATGAGAGTGTAATGTGATTGCGGTTTGAGTTTAGGATAGCAGCGACACGTGCGCGCACGCATGTGAGCTGGTTGCCAAGAGACCCCTGCATGTTGCTATGCACGGGTACAGCCTACACCAGGGCGAAAGACGGTTTTGGTATTTAACAGCCCAAACCCAGATCCGAAACCCTAGTGATAATACACTGAGGGTGACTGAGGTCGGTGGTGAAGGAAAAGAAGACATCAATTGTGTAAATCAATTAATGCTGGAAATGGTTCTCTAGGTCAAAGCTATTCCAATATACAGCATATCCCATGAGTCAAATCATTCAGTGCTGGAAGAAAAAGATGGGGGGAGTTATAGCTGCTCTACAATCACACAGCACATGGAGGGTGAACAGTAAGAGGGTTTGCATGCTGAAGTGAGAGAGCAGTGTGTGTGTGTGTGTGTGTGTGTGAAGGTCATGTGATATGGTGTAACTGTGAATGACATTTACTGTATTGAAATCTTTAAAGCTACAAACTGATTTACACTACCATTCAAAGGTCAGTAAGATTTTATTTTAGAAAGAAGTTAATACTTTGATTCAGCAAGGACAAAAAAGTGATAGTAAAGACATTTATAATGTTATGAAAGTAGCAAATAAATGCAGCTCTTTTAAACTTTCCATTCATCAAGGAAACCTGAAAAACTCTATCATGGTTTCGACAAAACATTCAGCAGCACAACTGTTTTCATTTTTCTTAAGCAACAAATCAGAATGATTTCTGAAGGATCATGTGACACTGAAGACTGGAGTAATGGCCGCTGAATATTCAGTTTTGCCATCACATGAATAAATTACATTTTAAAATATATTCAAATAGAAAACAGTTATTTGAAATTGTAATATTTCACAATATTACTGTTTTTACTTCAGCCTTAGTGAGCATCAGAGACTTTTCAAAAACAATTTAAAAATCTGACCCAAATTTTTGAATTGTAGTGTAGGCAATAATTTCATTAGAATTAATAATTACAAGTTTTATTCTGAACAGATCAAATGCCTTTCAACTAAATAATATTCTTGCGAGAAGCAAATTTAGATCATATAAACTATTATCATTATTTTTTTTAAATTGCTATATTAAGATGTAGAAGATTTTGCAGACTGACTTTAGTTACAGAACTGAAATTGTGCTATTTGAAGACATAAAAGCTTTAAGACTAATATTGTCAGGATCAATGTTTAGACTTTTTCTTGGACTTAAGCTTTGCTTCTGACACTGTCAATCTTGAAGTCAATTTAGTAATCCCAATTAGTATTAACTGGTTATTTTGCAGACTCTCTAAAAGACTGCATTTAATTCAAATTAAAACCATTTTAATCAGCAAAAAACTTCTCACACACATACTGGAAGATGATTCTGTCATTCTCATCGGTCCTAAAAAGGCAAAACAGTATAAATTATTAGATTTACATAAAACTAATTAAAGAAATCTAGCCTTACGACAATATTTAATTTTTAATACAGCACTTTAAGCATTTGAACATTACTGATTGGGACAGTGCTGCATAAATAACGTTATAGCTGTGATTATTATTATCCATGTGCAGTGTGCACTGCATGAGTTTACGGGCATGTGTGTAAAGATAAGGCATGGCAGTTAAGTTCAGAGTTGTAAATTAAAGTACTGCATTTGCTCTCTAAATGTCTCCCATTAAAAGACCACAGAGCATGACATATGGTCACGGCAAGCGTAAGACATTTCTGAATAAACCCATTTCTGAGAGTGAATCTGTCGGTTTACTCTGCCGTTAAATGTATGAATGCCTATAGGGATATTTAAAAGCATGTAAGGTTTTGTGCATTCATCATAGTGTGTGCGTGTGTGTGTGTTTCTTCACACCTCCCCCAGTGTCAGCTGCTGATCATGGCTGGTCTGCAAGAGAAGATGTGTGTATGACTGTGTGATTTTGTGTGCATGTGTAGGGGTGAGACAGGAAGTGTCACTGTGTTTCAGCACAAAATCTCCATTTGAAAGAACTGCTGTGGACATTAAAATGTCTAAAAATGTACTGAAACTCACTGTGCTGCCTTCTCTAATATTAGCTTTATTCCCTGTACTCACATTACTAAATATTACAGTATTCGAGTCTCTTCTTCCACCCTTCATAAGGTAGAGAAGCAATTTAACCACTAACTTTTGCAAGAATCTTCACTGAGAAGTAAAATTACAAATCTACAAATACTGTATCTGTGAAAAGACAGTATACTATTGTTTGAAATAAGATAATGATTGGCAGTTCATAATACTGTTGATACTAACTAGTAGAACATACACTTCTCAAAGTAATAACAAAGTAATGACAATAATATAGTTTGTTGAAACATTATTTTTAAGGAATATTACGTAACATTATACAATTTGTGGCCCATGTTTTAGCCATTGTTGTGCAGCACTTTGTTTGCCAAAAATTAATGAAATTGTTTAAATTTCATTATATTTAAAAGATTAATTAAATTGATCAAGTTTTATGCATTCATTTGATTACCACCGTTTTTCATAATAAATTTGCGTTAAATCATAAAACACAGAATCCAGAAAAATTAAAACGGACAACAATTTCTGGAAAAAATAAAACATTTCATAGGGCCATATTATTGTAAAAATAAATAAATAGATAAATTATTAAAGCTGTTAAAGTTCAGACATGCATTTGATTAAAATTGATTAAATTATTAAAATTTAATTAAACCTTTAAAATAGGATCCTACTACAACAAAAAACTGTTTGTCCAGTGTTTTTGACATAGAAAACATGGTACATCGCTTTAACTTATAGTAATTTAAGGATGTTTATACAAAAAACCGCGATAATACTATAGCCTAAATATTCATTGAAATATCATTTAAGGCATAGTTCTTATCCTTTACTCATCCTTATGTCATTCCAAACCTATTTGGCTTACTGTCTTCTGTGGACATGCAAAAAACGCATACAGGTTTGTAACAAGATGAGGATGAGTAAATTTTTGAGTGGATTATCCCTTTAAAAGTAATAGTCGAGGGAGCAATAAAAAAAAAAGAAAAGAAAAACCTCACAAGCAAAAATATCCACAAGTTCTGATCATCTGCATGACGGCATCAAGCGTAGGAAGTAAGGATTTGGGAATTTTGGGACAGCAGTCAATGGATTAGGGGAAGCCCATGATGCCAAACACAGATGGACAGACAGACAAGACAGACAGACAACAGCTACAGCTACAGACACACAGACAGGAGCAAGCAGGGGCAAACAGACAGGCCATATGCAGGCAGTGTGTGAGCTACATACTGACCTTCAGGTCCCTGTGCACTATGTCATGTTGGTGAATATGCTGGTGTGGGGAGATTTACTATACATACATACATACATACATACATACATATATATATATACATACAGTGTCTTTGAAGGGCAATCTGTCTCAAACATACAATATTTTGTTTTATATATTACATACTTTTGTTCAAAGGTTCGGCGTCGAAGATGTTTTTGAAATAAGTCTTTAATGCTCACCAAGGGTTCATTTAAAAATACTATAAAATTGTATATTGTGAAATTTTATTAGAATTTAAAATTAACCTTTTTCTGTTTTCATATATTTTAAAATTTAATTTATTCCAAGGATTTGGGAATTTTGGGACAGCAGTCAATGGATTAGGGGAAGCCCATGATGCCAAACACAGATGGACAGACAGACAAGACAGACAGACAACAGCTACAGCTACAGACACACAGACAGGAGCAAGCAGGGGCAAACAGACAGGCCATATGCAGGCAGTGTGTGAGCTACATACTGACCTTCAGGTCCCTGTGCACTATGTCATGTTGGTGAATATGATGGACACTGTCTAGAATCTGATGGATACAGTGACTGTGAAGACAAAACGGAAGAAAAGAAAAAGAAGAGGGGGAGGGAGAGAGGGAGGAAGGGAATGAGAGGTGAAGGGGGAGACGTGAGGATGGATAGAGTGAAATCAAACGATTGATGGAGTGATGGCAGCGCATTGAACAAAAGCAGTGGAGATGATAAGAGAAAACAAGGTTGAATCGATACACAAGAGAAGGGAGGAGTGACGTATACAGGAGTGATGTATAAAAGAGGGAGAAGGAGGGAGGAATTAAAAGGAGAGAGGGAAGTGAATGTTGGAGGTGAAGAGACAGAACCATTTAGACATGAAACACACAATTATTAGGTTGTTTTGGCTGTTATTTCTTTAAGAGCTGCCGCTGCAGAACGTGATGCGGATCTGACACGCATCTTATTTACTCTTTTTACCTTTCTGACCCACTTCAGGTCTTACCACGACATTGCATGCACGTAGGATACAGGCTACAGCGCGCGCCGGCGCCTTTGTGTGTGCAATTGAAGAGCACGTGCTGCGAGCGTAACGTTTCCGCACTCGTTTGACTCGCGCCTGGCGCTGAAGTGAAGTGCAGCGCGATATATATATATATATAATATATATATATATACCTGACCCAAAACATAATAGCGGACTCCACTATCCAGTGAGACAAAAATACAAACTTTCTCACAAGTTTAATAATTGATATGTATGTTTTTGTCTACCTGCTCTAGTACTTTTAACATTTCTAAATGAAACCCTTTAAATAGTACTGGGAAATAGTTCGTGCAAAATCGTCCCAGTACTTTAGTACTGTACATTTAGTTCTGGAACTAAAGCGGTGCGAAAGGCCCTAATGTAATAACCTTACACTTGTCATCTGTCGACCACGGTCATGTCTGGTTAGGACAAAAACTTAGAATTTATAGGAAGAGATTTTAATCACTTGTTTCATTAACACATCATGTTATCACAATTTACGTTTTCATATATTTTTCTAAATCTAAACCTTAAAGGCCGTATACAGTGGGTACAGAAAAAAATCACTCCCCTTTAAAATAATCACATTTTGTTGCTTTGCAGCCTGAAATGAAGCTGTATTTACTTAGTGCAACTTATAACATCCAAGTGAAAGACAAAACACCAACATATCAGAAAAAAACAAAACAGAATCACTGAGTTGAAAAAAGGATCACCCCCTTGTGTCAGTATTTTGTTGAACCACCTTTTGCTTTATTACAGCCTTTAGTCTGTTCGGATATGTCTCTGTCTCTACTAACTTTGCACATTTAGACTTTGCAATATTTGCCCACTCTTCTTTGCAGAACTGCCAGTAGCCTCTCACTGCAGAACACAAGATCCAGGGGGCTTGGTTGGATCCACATCTAGGGGGTGGAGATGGGTGGGTTTAGGGATCAGGGGGTGGAGACGGGTAGGTTTAGGTATAGGTAAGGTGGGAGGAGTTGGACCACGCCCCCTGGATCTTGTGTTCTGCAGTGAGGACCATCTCAGAACTGCTGAAGTTTAGTTCAATTTGATGGTGACCGTTTGTGGACTGCAGTCTTCAAGTCATTCCACAGATTTTTTTAAGTCCGGGCTCTGACTAGGCAATGCAAGGACATTCAGCTTTTTCTCCTTTATCCACTGTGTGGTCAATTTTGCTGTGTGCTTTGGGTCATTGTCATGTTGGAAGGTAAACCTTCTTCCCATTGACAACTTTCTGGCAGAGGGCAGCAGATTTTCCTCAAGAATTTGACAGTATTTTGCCCCATCCATTTTTCCTTCTATCCTGATAAGTGCTCTAGTCCCTGCTGCAGAGAAACACCCCCATAACAGGATATCACCACCTCAATGCTTTACTGTAGGAATGCTGTTATTGTATGGTGAGCTGTATTGGATTTCTGCTAGACATATTGTTTGGTGTTGAGGCCAAATAATTCAATTTTAGTCTCATCTGCCTCAGAATCTTTAAGGTGTGTTTTGTCAAAACTCTTGAGTACTTAGGAGAAACAAGCCACATTCATGGAGAATTTGTGATATTGTAGTCACATGCACACTAGGGCTGTCCAAAAAAAAAATCAAATTTTGAATATTCGTCGAATAAAATAAAAGAAATCCACATTCGAATGCAAAAACGTTGCATTTGAATTTTAGGTGTGCGTCAGCCGTCAGGCAACCTTATCAGTGGCGCACGAAATGTGACGACAATGTAAGTGTCATTGCATTTTAATGCTTTTGTTAGCCGATCCAGTTGAACCCACTAGATGCGGCGCTGCTACGTTGTTCATTCAATATATAGCGGAAAACGAGAGCATCAGTGTGGCGAATATGTTGTTTATGGCGAAACTGAAACCAAGCCGTTCACACAGAACGCAAATTTATCACATTTTCTAGTGGGGCATCTATCAGCGGTGCACTCGTGTCTCACACAAGAGAGCGGCATGTTTAGAAAGCCATGTAAAATTAATGTAAGTTCAACTTTTAAAAAACATGTCTCAAGACTTTATGGCGGTTTTCCCCCATCCCACTGTATCTCATGTTTTTAAATGAAGAAAGTAGCCTACGCTTTGTGATTGGTTTTCGGTCCTTTGTATTAAACTATACATACATGCATGATGCTGTTTTGTTTCTAATTGTTTAAGCAACTTTAATTATATAAGGTTTATAAACATTAT